TCTCTAAAGTACTGAGGAGCAATGGTGTCACTCTGGAGACTAAGGTGCGTCTGATACAGGCTATGGTCTTTGCAATCACTAGTTATGCATCAGAGTTGGACAACGACTAGGGAGGATAGGAGAATTGATACCTTCGCGCTGTTGTGCTGGAGAAGAGTACTGAATATAGCATGGACTGCCAAGAAAACAAACAGATTCTTCCTAGAGAGGGTTAAACCAGGTTGTCCCTTGGAAGCAAGGATTCTGGGGCTTTGTCTGACAAACTCTGGACATGTTGTAAGGAGGGCCAGGTCCTTGGAAAGGGACCCTTGGGAGGGTGGAGGGGCGGCGCAGGAGGGGAAGATCCTCTATGAGGTGGACTGATTCAGTGACTGGAGTAATCGGGATGGATGTGTCAGAGGCAGTGCGACAGGCATAGGATAGAGCAGGGTTTAGGGCTGTTGTACATAGGGTCACTATGAGTTGCAAGAGACTCGACAGCACATAACAACAACAACAATTAGATATTAAAGATTACCTGAAACAAAAGTTTTCATTTAACCAATTTTGACCTTTTGTCTAAGCCTGATGGAACTTTGCAGTATCTCTTAAAAAGTATCTCTTATAATATAAAAAATAATTATGTTGCCAGGACTCCTATGTTCTTGGCACAATAAAAACACAAAAGCTGTTCATTTCCAACAAATGATGTCAACCCCATCTGCAAAGTACAGTTAGGGGACTCACCTTCATCTCGAGTGTACTCTTCCCCTGAATGAGGTTCAAACAAATAGTCACCTGTAGCCAGCTCAAAAGCCTAAGAAAAAGAACAAAAACATATGAACACATCAAAGAAAAGAATAAAAAGCTTCCTGGCATTGGATTCAGTATTAAATATTTCTCTTAAAAATGGGGGAAAAAATGTAATTTCCTTAAGACATCAAAAATTATTTAAAAAAATTTTCCTCCCAACATCTATGTCTCTTAGTTGAAACAGTGAGAAAACTCCAAGTCTACTACTTATTCCATACCCCAACCCACACGCCCCAAATCAGCACATTAAGCTCCCTTAGTTTTTCCCTTCTTTGCTCAGAGATAGAACATGTGAATAGTCTTATTAGAGGTGGCCTAGGGGGTAAGTTGTGTGGGCAACCCAAAGGTAGGTGGTTTGAATCCAGAGCTGCTCCTGGGAGAAATGACAGGCAATCTCCTCAGAGGCATTTATAGCCTTTGAAATCCTGCTAGAGCATCACTAGCTATGGGTCAGTTCCAACTTAGGAGCAACTTTTGAGTTTTATCCTTTACTATTATTTACGGAAAAGCAGGTCCTGTTTTATCATGCAAAATCACGTTGTAATTCTATATAGCTAGAAATGGAAATTCTGGAACTAAAAACAAAGAAACCCCTTCCATTATCTTTCATCCTAGAACTTTTTAATGTTTGGCAAACAGTATATTCTTAACCTCTGCTGAGGAAAGCACTCTCATTAATGTTGCAGATGGAACCTTCCCATTTCCTAGCTCTGCAGAAAACCAAGAGACTAGAGTGCAGAGCTAGGAGCCAGTTTTCTATTTGACTAATAAATTAACATTTACAAACATTAATCAGGTCAGGAGAGATGGGTCCTTGGAGAAGGGTGGATGGACAGTGCAGGAGAGGGAGATCAGGATGAGATGGACTGATACAGTAACTGGGGCAATGGGACTTGGTGTGTCGGAGTTAGTGAGACTGGCTCAGGACTCAATGGCATATAAAAACAATAACGTACTATGACAGGTTTGGAAGCAGCATGCCTCTGGAAAACCTATAAACTTTGATAAATGTTGGTAGTGGTAGAGAGGCTTCAAGCCTTCTGTTCTTAGGGTTGCTATGAGTTGTACTCAACTTGAAGGCAAACAACAACAATAAAAATCAGATCAAGCATACATCTTTTACAAGAAATCCTCCTTATAAGAAATCAGTATTCAAGAGTATCTTAAGAAATGATTTCTTTTGAAGGGGAGCTCTGGTGGCCTAGTGGCAAGAAGCTGCAACTACAATCCCAGAGGTGCACGGTTCGAATGCACCAGATGCTCTGCCGGGGAAGGAGGGGCAATCTCCTCCTGTACCAGTCAGATCTGATTTGACGGTACA